GCTTCTCCTTGATGTTTTTCCCCTTCGAAGGGTTGGGATTCGGAAACTTACCCTTTCCCTTCCGGGTATTTTCCCCATCCTGTGAGGTGTCTATTGCCACGATTTCCTTGTAGGATTTTCTCCTTGCTGCTATTCTCAGCTTGATCGGACATTCTGGATCGTCCTCGCAGTGGAAGTATTTTCTACATTTCTTACACCAGGGAGAGTCAACACAGGCCATGTTCAAATCCACCCATCCATCTTCCCCAAGGTCGATGATCAAGTGTTGTTTGAACCATACCCTGGCTGCAGGTTCCATATCGAACCTGATATTCCACAGATCAGGGGCTATTGGATCTGCGAAGGCTTCGTGGGCCTTAATGATCCTACCAAACGCTTTCTGAACTGCCCCCTTGATGTGCGGCAGGATTGAGATCGGCACCTGCAGTGCTTTTACCCAAAAGTATCTTAGCTTATGAGCCTCGTTCCACTCATACAATTTATTTTCATTCATCCAATTTCTTAAACGAACTGTGTATTTCATACCGTCCAGCTCAATTGTATCTGTGCCCTTCCGTATCATCCATGTGGCGATGGCTTTGGAACTCGCCACGTAAGTAACCAGGTTTTTGCCATCGCACCGAAAAACTCCTCTTTTCGGGGCGCTGTCAATCTCCTGTGCATTTGCCCAACTCTCCTCATAGATGCGAACTAAGCGATTTTTAACTGAGGGTGGAAGAGTGGATGCGTCATTTTCGAATTGATCGAGACCGCGTGTTCAGACAGCCATTCTGCCTGTATTTCATAAAACTTGCTATCCACAATTACTCTCACGAAGTCTTGGCCAGAATCGGTGATGCGTGGTACAAACTCATCCGGCAATATCCCTTTTGCATASCAGTCCCCAATCACTCCCCTTAATCTAGTTTTTTCAGCTTTCGACAATGAGATTCCTTCCGGGGATGGGGGTTCTGCCATTTTTCACTCAGGGAATTAKYTGGTGAGTGGGGATATAAGAGAAGGACAGTAGCCTACAGGATATGCRTACGTGAGAAAAARCCTGCGTCGTCAGCCTCCATCACTTGAATGTCGTTGTAATTTCCTATCTACYGAAAAACGRCACATGCATATCCCGGAATCCTCCTGTCCGGCCCAGCTAGTATCACCACCTACRCCTGGTGTGTGGACCGCACCTACGTGTGCTTCTCTATGTCCAACCCATGAGGAGAATCARGTGAGCAGTATCTTCTTCGAAGCTTGAAGASTTTCAGGTTTTGCTGAAATCTCTGATMTTGCTCTTGAACACTTGCTTCCTCTGTGTGATGTTTGCTTCGGATCARCYCATGCKCTCTGAGGTGATTAAGAAATCAGGGGGAGAAAATGGAAGTTGGGGTTAGATACGGGGGARGTAAYATGTCATTCACCAACAAGCAGGCTACTATGCATGTATCTCYATATCGATAGTCCTGTCCCAATAGTCCCCTCCCTATTCCCACCACAGAGCGTGTACGGGCATATCAGTGTGTCTCGCTGGATTACCTCAGAGATACCATGCTCGCGTGGTCGCTGCCGCCTGTGAGTTCTCCTCCCTGGAATTATCCGTCGTCTTCACCGTGCGGCCCCTCGAGCTGACTGCACGACCTTTTCTCCCCCTTCACTCTGGTGGGGGGGAAAAACGCCCTCATTGGCCGATGCAGTTGTTTTTTGATGAAGTTTAACTCAGTCGTCCGCTAACTTGGTGTCTTTTGGCCACTGCCCGCTACCATCTGACCCGCCCTTCTGGCAGCTGTGCGTCACGAGCACTAATAAACCCTGCCATCAACACCTTCTCGACCGGACCTGCCACGTGACTCCACGTGGCTGCTCGTCAGATCCCGAAAAAACCCTGTCATCGCCCCCTTCCCGCCCAGGCCACTCCTCCCTCTCGCCCCTCGGCTCGACTCCCACCTTTTTTCGTAAGTTTCTTTTCCACGGTGTTTTCCCTAGTGAGAAATAGCGCTGCGGAACAGCGCTGCGAATTAGCGATACGAAATAGCGCTACCGGCCCTTCTCCTCCGCCCCCCATCTTTTCGTTCCAGTTTTAACCTGGTACGTTTCATCGTTCCAATTTTAACGGATGTCCCGAAGGACGTTTTTCCATTCGGCGTCACCCCCCTCCCCCTTCCCCCTTCTATTTTCTCCTCCCCTTTATCCATCTCTGCATTCACCCAGAGGAGCCCCATGGGTGACATGGTACCCGAAACTCAGGGCATAATCACACTACGACTTATTTATGTCTTTTTCGACGGAATTTCGGCCACATACATGCATGTATGGCTGTGAATGCGGTCAGATACATTTGAGATACGGCTAGTGTGAGTACACCCGTAGACGATCCATTCTATTGTTAGCAAGTAGCACGTGCCAGCCAGCGTGCCTTACATGAACACCTTTGAGAAACACTGAAAAAAGATCCTGCCTCCGCAATTTCGCTTTCTCACCCGACCAGAGAACCACCCCTTCGGGGGCGGAACGGGCCGCACCTGGGGAAGGTCACGGTAGCGCTATCGAGCGCTAAAATGAGCGACTCTACGGCGTTACCGAGGCGCTTGGCCTATTCACTCGAGATTTTGACGATGAACTCGATTTCTTCGGGGTTACCGAGGAGGAAAGGTGAGGGGAGCGCGGGCCTTGCTCAGTGATGCGAGGGTTATGGTGTGGGGACGTTGTTATGTGTGTAAGCTTACCCTGCTTCCGCGTGGTATGAGTACGACGTTTCCCCTTGAGAAGATCAAGGGGCAGGAAGATGTCGTCCGCCCTGAAGCCCGTCAGTCTGGCCTTGGAAGCTATTCGAATGGAGAAAGGTGATTAAGCTTCTTTGTCATTCAAACTCGTGGTCTCCTACATGCTCAAGTTGCGATGCTGGTAAATCGTGTGTCAGTCGTTGAGAATATTTATATTTGGTTCGCATCGCCTTTGTTTTGAAAACTATTACGTTTTTCTTTACATTAAGGGGATTCGGGCGAGGTATTTGAAAGGTTGTTGGGGGGCTGGGATCTTGAGAGCGGGAAACAGGGATTGAGCTGAGTCTCTCTTCCTACGGTATTAACTTTTGGGGAAGCCTCGGACAATTGACAACTAATTCTATAGTTATTAACAAGAACCATAGTAAGTCGGGTATTTATTTATGCGTTGTTATTAACTTTTCTTTTGCGAGTGCGTTTGTGTTATTTTATGGTTCGGTGCTGCCGGGATTTATTTGAGAAGCGGAGCTCGTGGGGGGTTGAGAGGAAAAATGGACAATCTAGGAAGAACCTCGTCGTCCAGAAACCTTCCCCCCCACCCCCCACCACCTTCCCCGGACCCGGGAACACCACTCTCAGATGCGGATGTCCAAAGAATCAAGGGAATCCTGAGCTCTTGCTATACAGATGGTATCCTTCCCAAACATCTTGCCCCTGTTTCTAATCCTAACAAAGTGGCGGTTGGCGCTGACTATGTCAGGGTTTCTTTGGATCCGGATGTTCTTAGAGTCCACGTAGATTGGCTTAAGGAACACGCAGTGACAATTCTGTTTGGTGATGATTCGACGTCGCTACCCGTGGACGTCAAGAGAAGGTTGGTTCGTACATACGAGGATGGGTGGGCAAACAATAGAATTATCCAAGTTCCTCCCAGAAGAGGCCTCTTTCACAACGAGTGTAGGAATCTGGTTACGTATGTTGCGTCTGCGAGTCAGATAGCTTCATTCATGCTAAGGAAAGAGAAAGAGATTATAGTTCTTGATGGGAAAAGATACAAGCTGCCGTTTTTACCGTGGATGAATGACAATCAACTCCATGAGTGGAGGGAAGCAATGAGGTTCTAGTTCTTCTGGATCCGTTGTTTGCAAGTACCGATTTCTGCTTTCCCGCTGTTAGAAGAGGCAGTAGAAATGACATTTGGTCCAATCTTGAAAACTTAATTGGCCTTCAAGGAGCCAATCTCTCCAGAACTGCTGAATATTCGCTTTGATCTGGCAACGGCAGCCAGATTCAGGTATAAGCCATATCTCACGATTGACTTGGCAGAGTACGGGTATGTTGATATCGAGGTGGTCTGTGCTGACACCCAGTGGTGTTCCGCATGCAAAAGATTTTTTCATGCGGCTGGGTCCCCTGATTGCCCGAGGAACAAGATCCGCGTAAGTCCAAAAATAAGAGACCAGTGAGTGAAGGGGATTCAGATAGTGAGGATAGTGAGGAGGGAGAGTCGGTCAAGCAACAAAATCTGGGGAAAAGCAGAGGGGGAATGAAATCGAAAGAAGGGAACCAGGGGAAGTCTCGGCAGGGGAAATAAAAACAGCCGATGCAGAACCAAAAGGATCCGTCCAATAAGAGTCAACAGTGGGCTATTATTGTGTGGAAAGGAGGGTCAAAGAAAGGCAACACGCCAAAGGAAAAGGGTGGGATTCTGAGGACTAATAAACGAACAGGATCTCCGATCAAGGAAAAGGGGAAGCGTCCTTCGAGCCCAGGGAATGACAGCAGTAGTATGGAGGAGGCAGAATCATCTATGGGAGGAAGCGATAGCGAAGGGAAGCTGGGTGACAATCAGTCCCACTCGGATAAGGGGGAGAGAGGTACCCATCCTCAACCAAGTGGAGTGGTAGAGGGGGTAAAGGAGAGGGTGGACGGTATGACCGCCAGGGGTGAGAGTGGAGATGATGGAGGGGAGGAGGGTGAAGAGGTACACTTGACTCGGAAACGCAGGGACCCCCAAGAAGAAAAGAAGAAACAAAATGAAGGGGCGATTCCGTTGGGGGGGATGTTCCTTTTGGAGGAGGAGGATTGTGAAGAAATTCTCATTGAGGAGGGGAAGGGGGAAGAGGAACTAGAACGTGAAGTGATGGGAACGGGAGTATTGGAAGAAGTAAGGAAAGCTGAGTCAGAAGACTCAGGGGATGAGGACATGTTGGAAATTTTAAGAGAAGAATTGGATATTCCTCAGGAGACGGTGAAACCTACCCCGGGGCAGAAGGACTTGGAGCTGGCACTGGAGGAAACTCAACCCCCCCCCTCCCCCCCGTCGACTAGCCAAAGGAGATTTTCTGAACGAGAAGCTTTTAAGGTCTACGATAATGTCTTCTTTGATTTGGACGTTGGTAGTTCCTCGACTGGGGTGGAAACTTTAAACTCAAAACATGATGGTTCACAACCTAAAGCGGGCTCTGGCATCTTTAGTATGCAGGGTCTTCTGTCAAAGGGGGGCAGACGTTTTCTGGTATCATCATGTGGTGGCTTCCCCGCTAAAAAAGAGAGAACTAATATAGATGGGGGTTTTGGTTCTCTATCGAGAGAAGGTGGAAATGTAGGTTACTCGGTATTGGACGACCCTCCCCCAGAATTAGATCTCGCGAAAAGTCGCAAACGATCAATTCACCACCAATCTGCGGGGAAACAACTCTCCTTTGCCGGCCCAATGACAACGCTGTCCAAGGGGGATAAATCGAAGGGTCCTGCTAAATCCTTTGTCGCATCTTTGATCTGTTCGGACACTCAAATGGGACCTTCGGTCCAAACTAAAGTCCGTACTGATGAGTGTTTGGAATTCCTTGTGATCCAAACTCACTCTTATCTCACGGAAGAGGAGGTGATGGAATGGACAAGGAAATATGTTCTGAATCACACAGGTACGGTCACACTTCTACCAACAATGAAAGTCTGCCGTTTTCTGTCATTGGCAGAGGAAGGCCCTCCTGTCATTTTCTATTTTGCATTCCTAGGTTTAAAGACGATTAATGAGTCATTTGAGAAGTGGTGTGAGCTGCGGGTTCATTGGCTCCCACTGAAGGACTTCTTGGCTGAAGGTAAAAAATCAATTTCCTCACTGCAACTTCCGTGCGGCAGAACGGGGCAGACTGTCTCAGACTGGATAAAGCACGCGGGATTATCTCCCAGGCTGACAGATGAGCAAGTTGCTCAGATGCTTGTTGCAATGAGAAACTTGGGAATCAAAATTTTCCCAAACCGGAATATAGGTTTACCAAATCCAAACCACGGGGATCAGCTCTCAAACCATATCCAATTAGATGGTGGGAAGGGACCAAATGGTCCTGCCACCTAAGCTACGAATTGCTTCATGGAATATTCGGGGCTTAGGTGACACTTCGAATAGATTAAAGAAATCGAGATTGCGTTCCTGGGTTTATAAGACTAATGTACAGATTTGGGGGTTGCAAGAAACAAAACTCGACTCAGAGAAACTGAATAATGCGGTGGCACTTTGAGATGGGCCTCAAATTTGGTCCCCTTCACAGGGGACCAGAGGGGGGTTGGCGGTGCTTATAGGAAAAGACTTAGAAGCTACAGTGCTAGACTCCTATGCTGATGCGACGGGGAGGCTCACGTGGATCAAAATCATAGTAGGAGATGAGGAATGGGAAATCATGTCCGTCTATGCCCCGGTGGACTTCAAAGAAAGAGTGATTTTTTTTGCGGACTTACCTAGCTTTATCCCTGATTCCGAAAACTTGATAATCCTTGGGGATTGGAATATGGTTCTGGTGTCGGGCCTTGATTCTTTATCCCAGAAACCGTCGAGGATAGATACAAATATATTAAATCCTTTATGGACTCACAATCTTTGATTGATGTTTTCCGGGTATTAAATCCTGAATCAAGCGGCTATTCTTGGTATGACCCCAGACCCTCAAAGAATAAGGAAGCTCCCCGATGTAGATTAGATTTCATTCTAGCACGGGGAGCTCCATGGGACAGGTGTTGTTGTTTTGATTTGGATGTAATGTACCTTTCGGATCATTACCCTGTCCTTATGGACGTGGTGGCACAAGATGTAATTGAGAAAGCTAGACCTCTGTTTAGATTAAACGTCAACTTACTAAAAGACAAAGGTATCAAGCAGTGGATAGAGCACCAAATGAAGATGTGGGATCAGTCCAAAGATCTATTCCTCGACCCGTTGGAATGAGCAGAGGTTGGGATTAATATAGTGCGGGTGACACTTTTGAACTTTTCCAGAATGAAGGCGGCGAACAGAAATTGGATGGAGCAACAGTTAAAAAATAAGATATCAAAAGCTGAAGTTAATATGGGTGGTGACCCTTTCCCTGACTATTATTGGCATGAGAAAAAAATATTTGCTGCCTTAGAGCTCGAAAAACTGAAAATTAGAAGGCAAAATGAGTGGCTAGAATGGCTCAACGTAAGGGTTATTGTGGGCTATGACAGAATGACTAAAATGTCTTTTCGGTCGCTGGTTATCGAGACACTCGAAGTCACTTAGCAAAGAATTGTCCCATCCTTTTAATATTGATCCTTGTACCTCTTCGGAGATTGATACAATGTGTTTGTATGCATATGAGTATTTTAGTGATATAGTTTCAACCCGTAGGCCTTTCGATTCGGTAGAAACTGATTTGTAGTGATATAGTTTCAACCCGTAGGGCCGAACCATTTTTGATAACATTATGGCTGCCCTCCAAGCATTAGAAATAATCTCAACAGAGAAAAGAAATGTGGCAGTCCTCCTCCTTGATATGGAGAAGGCCTATGATAAAGTTGGTTGGTCTTTTGTATTTACGACCCTTAAGGTAATGGGTTTTGGGCCCATATTTTTAAAGTACATTAAAGCAATGTATGTTGGTGCTTCTTCAGTGGTCATGGTCAACGGTAGGCTCTCTAATGATTTTTGCCTAACCCGGTCGCTACGCCAAGGATGCCCACTAGCTCCTTTGCTATTTGTAATTCAGTTGGAAATCTTGCTGGATAACATTAGGCACAACCCGATGATAAAGGGCCTGGAGATCCCCCCAGTTATCCAATGGAAGGGGGGGGCTATAGCGGATGATCTCTCTGTGGCCTGTGAGAATTCGTTAGATTATTTTTCACATCTTAGAAGTGTGCTAGATGAGTATTGTCAATTGTCTGAGGCTTCTATTAACTGGGAGAAATCAGTCTACCTGCTTCCCTCCCCACATATTATTTGCATCAACTGGGGATTAAAAAAGGTAGCGGTGGGGGAATCGGAGAGGTTGCTGGGGATTCAAGTCTCTCTCTCGAACTGTGCGCTCAATCAAGATAAGGTACTGCAAGACAGAGTTTGTTCAAGAATTCATGGGTGGGAACGGACTCATAAGCTCTCGGTGATAGGGAGGGGGCTGGTTCTTTCTTCGGCTTCCCTCTCTATCTTATGGTTCCCGCTGACGGTCCATGCATTGGGTGACAAGACTTATGCAGCCATTAGAAGAGCGGCGGTGAGGTATCTGTGGAAGCCGTCGGCCTCAGAACATCAGAACTTCATGGTCATACAGTCAAATATTCTATATCTTAAAAGAGTAATGTATATTTATCATAATTCTTATAATATTTTTCTTCTTATTATTAATATTAATTAGTATGAAATTGATAGAATATAATTTATGATATAAGATAATTGTATATAGAAAGATGTATATAAGATGACAAAAAACAAAAAAGAAATATCTAAGTCCGGCAAGAGCAGAAGGGGGGGCCTTGGGATGCTTGATCCGAGTGTTCAAAATAAGGCCCTGTTGTGCAAATGGGTTATCAAGGCCTGCCTGGAAGATGAAAGGAGATATTGGAAGCAATTGGAAGACTGCATATTAAGAAAAGGACTGCTCTTGCCTGAGTACGTAAACCCGTGCCAATGCCTGGTAGCGGCGAATCTACCAAGAAGTAAAGTCAAATCAAAACTGTGGGGGGACATCTTGGCAGCATGGAAGAAACTTAGACCAGTTCAGATTAAGTCGCCTACCACTAAATTGGAAATATTGGAGCAAGGTTTATTTGACAATCCCTTGATCTGTCATCCCTCAGGGTCTGAATTTGCATTTAGTACGAAAGCAGGGAGTTTTGGGTTGGCTTGGATTGAAAAAGGAGTGTTTTTGGTTCAACATCTTTGGGATATACGTAGCCAGGATTGGATTTCTGTGGAAGAGCTGAGAAGGTTGCTCCCCAGACTTCATAATATCGAACAAAACTTCAACAATCTTAAGGCGGCGTTTCCTTCTCAGTGGAAATCCCTGTTGAAAGAGAACACGGAATATGGAATGAATTCTTGGTTGGAGCACCCCGCTAACAGCGAAAGAGTGGTCAAGGTGATTGGTCCAGACCTGCCGCACGGAATGAAGGTGGAACAATGGGTAAAAGAGAGAAAAAAAGGGAATGGTTTTCCCCTTTTTAAATAAGGGGAAACCACAATCGCTACTACTACTCAGCTCTTGGAAGTGAGGGCCATTGAAGGTAGTGATTTAAACAGTAAACAACCGTACTTGCTGGATCGGTTGGCCTCATCTTATCCGGTAGACCCTCTCTTATATGGTTGGAAGGGTAAAGCGGAAGAGACACACCCAATCGTACGATACTCACCTAAGATAGGGAGGGAGGTGCTGAGAAGACAGAAACCACAGCCTTTGGAAGTGGCAACTCGAAGATTCAGGAAACTTAATGGAGACAACAAACCAGTCCCCGATTTCTGCCTGTTATGGAAGATGCTCAAGAAGATCCCATCTCAAAGACAGACTAACATTATATGGCTTCAGTCTTTGGATCTTACCACGTCTGCAATGTGGCTGAGGGAGAGGGGAATGGATATTGAGCCCTCCTGCAAACGTTGTAGGTGGAACTGGGAAACAGCCAGTCATATCTGGCTGACTTGCCCTCGGTCGGAGGAACTGTGGAGTTGGTGGACATTACAATGGAATGATGCCTTGGGTACCACATGGATTTGGAACGAAGATTGAATCTTATATGCGTATCCGCCAAAAGGGGGCAAACTCGATGATGAGTGTGGCTACATGGCGTTGATCTGCGGGGGGATTATTATGGAGGTCATTTGGAAGGGGAGGAATGAGGCAGCATTTAGAAATCAGGATACCTCCTTCCATCAACAAAGAGCCATGATCAAACAATCAATTAGGCTGACAATTTTGGCAGAATGGAAGAGGGCGTCAGGAAGACTAGGAAGAGGGGTTATTTGGTTTCGAAAAATGTGGACGAAAGAGGGTTTTTTAGCATCTGTGTCTGAGGAAGGACAAGTGGAAACTGCGAGATGGTTAAGCTAAGGCCAATAGGTGTGATAACTGGAGCGTTTCTAAGCCTGGCAAGACTGTTTGTCCGCCGAATTGGGGGGACCATTAGGACCGATTTAGGTCTGGGGTGGGGGTAAAGGATGCTTTTCCCAGCCATTAGGTCAGATTAAAGCCGGGGGAGTCTGACAATATTTGCTGATTTTAGAAGAAAGATCCTCAGATGGTTGAGAAAGACATGGGTGAAGAGTTGGTTTGCTAAGCCTTCAGTGGAGGAGACGTAGGTAATAAGCCCAGGGCTCAGATAATGCTACAGGCTCTATGGGACTAAACAGTCTCGTTTATTGTTTGGCTTAACGATTGCCTGGTGGAGCGGTTTTGTTTTTCAGGTTTTAGTTGGGTCTCCACAGGTTATCAGAAGATAGTAGGAGCCAGGATTGTTAGTTGGCTCATCTTTTGCTTGGTGCTTTAAAGTTTATTTTTTGGAAAGCTTCTGGATTGGGACGCTAGACCCGGTTTCCAGCAGGTAGGAAAGTGGTTATAGATGAGCAGTTTAGTTTGGTCTGTTGAGCTTGGCTTATAAGCTAAACTGGCTGAGGCTGCCAGGTTAACCCCGGGTAGAATTGTGAGGTCCCCAGCCTCGTCCCATGGATATTTTGTAAWAAAACTTCAAGCTTTTCAAAAAAAAAAAAAAARAAAAAAAAAAAAAAAAGAACCACCCCTTCTCTCTTTTCTAGGTCGTGCAAGACACCCTTACGACCAGATAGCATTGACGAGTCCCACAGGGCGACTGAAGATTGCCTACCTATCAGGCTATCTGGACAGAATGAGTTTTTCTGGTACCCTTACTTACTTCATGTAGACCCTACAAGGAATTCCACCCCAGATGTCAGCCTCGACAGTCAGACAGGCAGACACCTAAGCCACTAGGCTGCTAATTCTCCGCCAGGCTGGTCTGGTATTGAACTCGGTTCAGCAACAATACCGGGTTGATTTTTTTTTTTTTTTTTTTTTTTTCGGGTTGAATTGTGAGGACCCGGGCCTCATCAATATATTTTTTAACAATATATATTTTTAAGAATTCAGCATTTCATTATCAACAGAATGGAGGGCCGGGACCTCACAATTCAACTCGTTAGACACTCCTAAAGGAATCCTAAATTATTTAGGACGAGTCCTAAAAGAATTTCAGGATTCGCCGCAATCCTAAAAAACTTCTTTTAGGAATAGTCCTAAATGGTCTCCCACGGCCAGTTCTCATATGCGTATACGCAGTCGCGCCGTCGATGTCCGCCCATTGCAGCCTGGTGTCCGTGGTGCAGACGGTGGTGGGCCCTGCCTGGTTGAGGAGGGTGAGGTGGGAAGCGCAGGAAGGACGACGTTCGAAAATTCGAATTCGGATTTTCGCGGACGCAGGGAGGCGGGCTGGAGGACTTGCAGGCGACGTGTGGGACATACAAATGATGGCGGTGGCGCTTCCGTTGGCGCGGAGCTCCATCTTTCACGTCTGTGCAAGTCGTGAGCGGCGTGCGCAGTGTCGTGTGGGAGGGAAGAGCAGCGGGGTCATCTTCAGCGGCGGTCGCAAGCGTTATCCGTGAGAGGCGACAGGGCGGGAGATGGACGTTCGCGGCGGCGGGCAAGGGTTGCGTGAAGAAGAGAGGGAGGCGGTGGCGATGGGGGTGACTGCCGTGGTCCTTAACTCGGTGGGCGACATGTCGTCCAGGGAAAGCCAGAAGCGTTCGCAATTGCGGAAACGCAGAGCACTGTTGCAACGCGTCGTCGAAGCGCCAGATTGCGTGGCGACTTCTGAAGCGGTCCTGCAGTTGTGCACGACACTCTACTCCGGCGTCGTCCCATGGGAAACACCACGATGGTGGATCAAACGAAGGACTTGCGGAACTTGGGAGGATCTCCAGCTGTGTGACGAAGCGACGGAAGACTACTTCTGCGACAAGTTGCTTATGTCCAGGGCTGTCTTCATGCAGATCGTTGCTGTATGCGTCAATCACGTCAAGATGAAGGTCACACATTACAGGATGTCATTGCCTGTGGAGCAGGTCATTGCTTTCACGTTCTATAGGTGGGCCTCCGGGGAGACGTTCGAGAGTGGCACGTCAGCCTTTGGCATTCGCAGGACCACTGGACTGCAGGCCGTCGACTATGTAACTTCGACGCTGTTGAAGGCGTACCCCGAATCCATCAAGTGGCCTGTTGGGCGGAGACGTGTGCAGATACTGTGGGTTTTTCGGGAGAAGGGTTTCCCTAACTGCTTCGACGCAATCGACTGCATGCATGTGTACATTGACAAGCCCGCCGGCGCGCCGTCAGATAACTACTACGACGGCAAACGTAAGTTCTCCGTTCAAGCGCAGGTGGTAGTCGATTTGGATCTTCGTATCCTGGACGTCCACGTCAGATACCCGGGAAGTGTGCACTACGTCTATGTCCTGCAGAACTCCCATTTGTGGAGGCGCGCAAAAAGCGGTGAGCTTTTCGACGCCCCTCCGGAGAATCTACCACACGGTGTCGTCACGCGAGGTTACCTTCTTGGCGACAACGGGTACCTCGTAGCCTGTCCATGGATCGTCCAGCCGTACGGAGGAATCGAGCAATGTCCTGACGAGGAACGTTTCAACACGCGGCAGAAGGTGGCGTGGGGGTGTGTGGAGAGGGCGTTCGGGCGGTTGAAGTGCATGTGGCGTCTATTCCTGCGCACCCACAAAACGAACTTGGAGACCTTGCCGCAGCAATTCGTCGCCGTATGCACTCTCCACAACATCCTCTTGGACGCGGGGATCGAGTTCGACGAGAACCTGCTGTAGGAGGTGGATGAAAATGGCGTCCGGTGTAGAGTGGACTTGGGTGTGGTGGGAAACGACGCAGGCGGGAGGTGACAAAGCACGAACGTCGACGGGGACCTATTAAGGGATGCACTTCGAGACCGGTTGACTTTGATGTAGGCACGTGCAGCTGCGGGGTGTGGGTCGTGAAGAACGTGGGAGCGCCACGTTCGGTATGGCGGGCGGCACAGTAGGGTTGATGCATCGATGATTAGCATATCGTGGGATGGTCAGTAGTCCGCTCGTTCGCACGCCAGGGGGGGGGGGGGGGGGGGGTTCTTTGGGATGGGAGGTGGGGGGGGGCCGTGGTGCATCGAGAGTGGACGGCGGGTTTGTTTTGGGCTTGCTCGTGTTCTCGGATCGCCACCGGTGTGCAGGTT